CTCACAAGCCGACCAACCATCCAAGCCTGAGGACGAGTCTACACTCCGACGAGCGATAGAGGCAATGAGATCCTCAGGACTGACAGGGCTGAGATGCAGCGGAACAGCCTCAAGGAGGTGCTGACGCCTGGTGGACCCCAAAGACGAGGTTCAGGCAGTGGACGGATGGAAAGCAGGGAGCCCAGAGTGCCGCAGGCAAGTCTTCCACCGCTTGAAGGCAGACTGCCTGGACCGGGTAGCGTGGCGGAGCGCCTGACACAAGGTTGCAATACCAGAAGGTGTGAGATCACTTTCCTCGTAGCTGAAAGAGAGGTCCCTGGCAAGGTTGCGAAACCTGCGGAGGGTGCAGTGTGTGGTGGCGGCATCATGAAGTGTCGCCAGTGGCAGGCGAACAACCCAAAAGAAAAGCTCCCGAACCAAGGAAGGCAGGCGAGCAAGAGGGCGCTCGAAGCAACTCCAATTCTTGTCCCGACAGAAAGTAGGAGGGCGAGCAACCTCTTGGTCAGGTGGTTCGAGCGGATCGATCCAAACGCCCGTGGCCAAAGCATCAGCAACCGGAGGGTAGGAGCATGGGTCAGCCTGGAAATCCCCAGCCAGGAGGACCGGACAGTCGGGGATAAACTGGGCCGCAAAGGCAAGAGCACCCGAAAGGTATTGAACGTTCCGGGCAAAGGTGTTCTCATCAGAAGAGGCGCCGGAAATGCCGTAAACTGCCCAGACAGCCTGAAAACGGCCGGAAGCCAACAAGGGGGTCAGGTGGCCAGTGTGGCATGCTGTGGGACAGAGCGGGAGTGCTCCCTTCGCATGGGGTCATGGAAGTGGAGCGTGATTTCCGCTGGCGCCATGGGGATTGGGATGGGCTGGGGCTGCAAATCCAGGGGCTCCTGGGCCGGTTGACCGGTGAGATCACCAGCCGGTTCACGAGAACCAGACCCTTGCAAAGGAGGAGATTGCCACCAGCGGGAGAACCTCAGGAGGGATCCTGGCAGTCACCAAGACATGCGAAACAGTGGAGCCAACCGGGAAGGTGACCTCAACACGAAATCCACCAGGAGAATACAGGGCAGCACGCGCAACGCCAAGCCGGTAGGGGAAAGCCATGGGGGGAAAGGCAGCATCCCCAACGACAACAGGCGGGCCACCAGCATTAGCTCGCTGGGGAGACTGTGGATGGAAGGCAAAGTCAATAAGTGGGCCTAGCGGGCCGACATAGTACCACCCTCAGTCGCACCAGCCCAAGCCAAAGGGCCCACTGGGCAGGTGAGAGGATTCATGCCACTCAAGCTGAGCGAACAGCCCTCTTTCAGACAGGGTGGAGGCTGCAAGGACGTGTTGCCGGGTGTATCTGGCGCACAAAGTCCGGAGAGGCTGGTCGCGCTCCGGCAGTCTTCTCCTGAGCACTTCCTCAAGGGGTAGTGAGGGCATCAGCAAGCCTGGGCAGAAAGGCAGGGTTGGCGTAGCGGGCAAGAGTGTTTTCATCGAGGAGACGCTCGTAATTGACACTCGGGGCCTCACTGACCTGAAAGGATGCATGATGCCAGGGAGTCGGAGTAGGGCAGCGAAAGGGCAAGCCTGGGACTGTGACGGAAGGGGGAACATCATGGCGTAACAGGACAGCGAGCCACCGTTTGCGAGAGCACGGATGGTCGTGAACCATGGCATGAAGAATGACATATCCAGCCCACTGGATGGCTGCCTGGATGATCGGGAAATGCGGACGGCTAGGAAGGGCATCCACACACTCAAGCAGGAGGGCAATGGGTGCCGCTTGCCTGGCCCACACAAGGGCAGTGATGAAGGTGAGCCCATGGGGGTCTGCCAGGCCTTCCCTGCCGCCAGCCCGTGACCAAGGAGGGCAAGGTGGGGAAGCAGTGGCAACATGCACGCCAGTCCAAGGAATGGCGTGCAGAAGGCAACATCCGAAAGAATGGTGATCTGTGCCGGAGTTGGAGACCAGCTGTTCAAGCTGGATGGCACAGTGCTGGGGATGTCAAGAGTGGCCACGTGGGCTTGTCCCCAGCCGTGGAAGGAGCCCGCGAAAAGGTGGGTGACCGCCAGTGGGTCATCGCAAGGAGGGTCACTGATGCGCCAGACGACAGAACAGCCCTCCTGAAAATAGTGCCCTGCTGGAGGTGAGCCCCACACACGCAGAACCTAGACATGTGTTTCGTGTTCTTCACCCCGCGAGAAGGTGATAGGGGGTGTTCAAGGTGATAGGGGGTTTTCAAGGTGATACGCCGTTTCGTGCTGATCACCCCCGTATCGTGCTGATCACCCCGCAGCCAAGCCAAATTTGGAGTGTGAGACTTGGAGTGACCGCGATATAGTTGTGTTGCCATTCTGTAACGCCTTTTGTTAGGGGTTGGCGGCTTTAATTCCTTAAGTCACAGCCCCCCAAAACACAAACGCTAAAAAACACGCTGCGGCTGCAGAGCCGTTTTTCGACGGCTCAATTGGGCCGATCCGTTTCGTTGTGGGCCCTGCGCCGCGCCGGCGTGGCGCTTACATCCAAGCACGCATGTGCATATCGATGCGTGTTGCGTGCATGATCATGAGCTTGGCTTAATATTGCCGCCGTTGCATCCGTGGCCGCACTGGCTCAGCCTCGGGCCCGCTGGCCGGCATGCGGCCGGCCGGAGGCGCGACGTGTTCCATTCGCACATTGACTGCGACCATCCGCATGTCGCAGGCGACGAGGCGGCGCGCCAGCGCGAGATCCTCGATCTGGAGCGCCGGATCGAGGAGCTCGTGCGGAGCCTGCCCGGTGGCGGGACCACGGGCCGCGGGCCTGGAGCTCAGATTCGCTGCATCATTGCGCCATGTGACTTAGTCGCGATTTGAGGTACACGTGGCCGCCTGCCGCTGAGAGGCCTCCCGGGAGCTTCGCGAAGAGCTTCGGGACGGCGGCCCAGCGGCCTAGGCTCGATATGTGCGTCCATTGATCGGTTTCACTCGTTTTCCTGCCAGGCCGCCGCCGCGGCCTTGGCAGTGGCGGCAACCGCCGCTGCAGGCGCCGCTGCAGGCGCCGCTGCAGGCGCCGCCCAGGCCAGAGCAGCAGCAGCAGCAGCAGCACCAGCAGCAGCACCAGCTGCACCAGCAGCAGCACCAGCTGCAGCACCAGCAGCACCAGCTGCAGCACCAGCAGCAGCAGCACCAGCTGCCGGAGCAGCAGCCACGCGTGCTGGGCCTTGGGGCCAAGCCTAAGGCGCGTCCGCCGCCGGTCCAGCTTGCGGGGCCGGTGCGAGCGGTTTGGCCGGTGGCCCGTCCAGGGCTCGCTCCCCCGGCCAGATCCTCAGTTGCGCGTTCGTGGTTTTGAACTGCATGATTGCGTGGTTGATTAGCTTGATCTGAGGAGCTGCCGAGCCGCAGCCGCAGCCGCAGCAGCAGCAGCGACGCAGGCAGCAGCGCTGGCAGTGGCTCAGGCTGTCAACTTCCTTAAGCTTAAAAAGCACATTATATTCATCCTGCTCCTGCGCAGGCTTCACCTCTGCGCGCTGCAGCTCGGGCTCGTCGCCATAGTGGCCGGGCCCTTACATACCATAGCGATCCTTTTTTGTTGCCGGCCAGGTACCGTGACGTGCACGCTGCGCTGGCCGGGCGGCCGGATCGACGATATGAGTGGACAATTCTGCGCGGGCTGCATGCGCGCGCTTGACTCCGCTTGATCTGCTTCCGTGGGTGCTCGAGCGTCCTGCTGATCACCCGAGGCGCATGGCTGGGAGCGGCCGGCGCCTTGTGATCAGCCGCTTGATTGCCAGCACTCTTTGCCTGGCTTATAGCTCGCTCTTGCGCAGGTACAGCCCGGTGCTTCGACGGACGTCGCTGGCGCGGGCCTCATTTTTTTCTTTCCGGTCGTTGCCGCTCGGTCGTCGCCCGTCTCGCTCGCGCAGGTGCTCTTCCTCGCCTTCTGCCGCGGGCCTTGTTTTTTTTTGTTCGTTTCGTTTCGTCGTCGCTCGTCTCGTTCGCGCAGGTGCTCTTCCTCGTCTTCTGGCGCGGGCCTTGGCTTTTTTTCTCTTTTTTTTTCGTGTCGTCGTCGCTCGTCTCGCTCGCGCAGGTGCTCTTCCTCGCCTTCTGGCGCGGGCCTTGGCTTTTTTTTTCTCGTTTCGTCTCGTCGTCGCTCGTCTCGCTCGCGCAGGTGCCCTTCCTCCTCTTCTGGCGCGGGCCTTGGCTTTTTTTTTTCTCGTCTCGTCGTCGCTCGTCTCGCTCGCGCAGGTGCTCTTCTTCGTCTTCTGGCGCGGGCCTTGTTTTTTGTTTTGTTTTGTTTTTTTCGCTTCGTCTTGTCGGCCGGCCGTTGTGCAGGTGGGGTCGTCTTCAAAGATCTGGCGCGGGCCTTGGCTCCCTTTTTTTTCCGTCTCGTTGTTCGCCTGGCTGCTTTTTGCGCAGGTGAGTGGCGTTGCTCGGCGATCTGGCGCGGGCCTCGTGTTTTTGGTTTTGGGGGGGGGGGCCTTGGCCTTTCAAGGTCCTTTTCCGCCAGATCGAGATGCCTCGCGCTAGGGTGCCGGCCTCAATTTGTTTGACTGCATGAGCAGCCGCCGATTGTGCGACACAGAGGCGCAAGCTCCGCGGTGGCGCTGGTGGCGTGACCTGCAGCCCAGTGCGCCACGTGTTGACCTGCGCGTGTGTCATTCGCAAATTTAGCTATTGCAGTTTTCATTTTGCACACGACCCAGCTGTCCCGGCTCGGCGATCGTGTGGATCCTGCAGCCATGGTGCGCCAGCTGAAGCTGGTCGAGGATGAGCCGGAGGTGGTCAGCCGCTACGCTGCAGAGTTTGCTAAGGTGGCGGCTCTGAAAGAGGCGCCGGCTGCGCCTGCACGAATTCACGCGCATGCATGTGTTCGGATTGTTTCGCCAGGCCGGCTTCAGCTTCGTCGTGGCCCACTCCGAAGGCTTGTTCGAGCAGGCCGAGCCCACGCGCAAGGACGTTGAAGCCAACACGGAGGCGGCCACTTCAGCTGCGTTGCGTGCGTGTTAAGCGTGCGTCTTGTCGACCATTGTCAGGTGATAGCGGCGATCCTCACGGTGACGCCCAAGGCGCGGCTCTCAGAACTGGTTCTGGCGAAAGCCATTCTTGAGTTCTACGACGCGCAGAAGCTTGCCCCGTCCGGGATAAGCCAGCAGGCCCTGGCGAAGTGGGCAAGTCGAATGGCCTACGGCGCGCGCAAAGTCTGCCAGAAGTTTAAGCGACTGGTGTACGAGTCGCCGGGTGCTTCAAAAACAGGGGCTTTGCAAAGTCTGAAGCGCCACCCGCGCAGGTAACGTCTCCGGCAGCTGTGCCGGGCTGCCTTGAGGTGTTCGACCCGTGGGCAGTGCTTAAGCAGAAGATCGAGGCGCTCAAGACGCAACCTGCGCAGCCTGTGCACGCGCAACCTCGCCAGCAGGCGCTCAAGCCTGAAAAGGGGCCACGCACTGGCAGCCCTGGCCGCCACAGTGTGCCCGAGCATGTCCTAAGTGCTCTGAGCAAGCTCAGCTGCTCGCTGCCGCCTGCCGAGCCCGTCAGCACGGCGCCCGAGGGCAAACGCAAGGCCAAGTCGCCTGCCAAGCCCGCAGTGCCCAAAGCTGCAACCAAGCCACCTGCAAAGAAGGCGGCCCAGAAGCAGAAGAAGTCTGCGGCGGCCAAGCTCAAGGCCGACGAGGACCTCGAGAAGCAGTTGGGCCTTGCTGCAGCCGGGGAAGCTGTCTACAAACCCAAAGAGTTCCAGCAGCTCAAGTCGGCTTTTGTGAGTCGACGCCGGTCCGCTGGCAACACCTTCGCAGAGGCCACGAAGGCGTGGATGCTCAGCTCGGAACGGGCGCTGTTTCTCACAACCTTGAGCGAGAAAGAGCTCAAGCGGCGGCGCTTTGCCTGAGGCAAAGCTTGGGGATGGATTTCGGTCCCCAGCGGAACTCAGCCCAGACACGTCATGCGCGAATTAGCGCGTTCGATCTCGCATTTCTGGCTGCAGCCCTGTCAGGGCTCACGTACTGTCGGGGGCCCGCGTGCTGTCGCAATGGTCGTTGCTGAAATGCTGGCCGCGGCCTGCCCGGAGATGTTGGTTCTCGCGGTGCTCCTTTTGTTGCACAATAGCGCCGTTCAGAGCAGCGCCCAGGTGCCCGGCCCGCACCCTTGTGTTTTCTCACCTTTTCTTGCCCAGGTCAACGACTTCGTGGAGTACTTTTGTGGCGCTGCTCGTGTCAGCGCCCAGCTCAGAGCCAATGGCTTCGCAGGTGCGTCCCTGGACATCTTGCTAGATGACGGGCGCGCCATGGACTTCACTGCCTCGGCTGGCTTTGCGAAACTCGCCGGCAAGGGGCTTTTCATGGCTGTAGTGGGCTGCCTGAGTTCTGAGGCTAGCCTTGCTGGCCATTGCGCGGAGCAAGCCGGGCTCCTTGCACTTGGTGGCCATTTGCTGCAACAGCTTTTGCGCCCCGCCCGGCCCTCAGCAACTCAGCGCCTCTGCTTGCAACTGCTTGCAACATGTGGCTGCTTCTCACGCGTGCTGGCAGGGCTGCTGCCAACCACGGAAGGTCGCTTTTGTTTCCGGAAGGAAACCGCGGCTTTCAGTTTGTGAAAACAGGCAACTGCCTGGCTGCTCGTGTGGGCTTACTGCTTCGCTACATCGCAGCTTCGAAGGGCAGGCCTGTGAGCGCACGCGCTCGCATTTTTTTTTGTGTGGGTAGGTGGCTGATGGAGCGGCCAGCTGGAAGCGCTCTCCCTCATCACCCTGCTGTGGCAAAGCTCTTCGAGGATCACAAGGACTCGGGCGCATGCGTTTCTTGGTTGATGCCAATCCACTTTGCTTGTCAGGTGCATTCCTGTGGCATTTGGGGCGGCGCGTACGGGGACGCTGGCAGATGCACTCCCAAACGCCACGCTATGTGGTCCAACGACCGAGAGCTTGTGAAGCGCCTGCATATTGCATCAGGCCACCTTTCCCGGGAGCAGCTGGATCTCTTTGGCGGCCCGCCACTCACCAAGAAGTACAGGAAGCCAGATGGAACTGCCGGCTACTCTGGCACGCCGCGCTTGAAGCAAAGCCAGCTGCATAGATGCAAACATTTTTTTTTGGTGCTTTGGCGGGCGCGCGTGCCCAGGACATACCCTGAGCGATTGGGCGCTCATCTGGCGGCCCTGCTTCGTGAAGCTCAGGCGCCTGAGTGGCCTGCAGGGCCCTTAACGCGGTGCTTCTTGCAGGTGCGCCTGCCCTTGCATGTGACTCAGGCCTTGCCTGACATGCCCGTGAAGGTTGACCTCGGCAAATCCGACTTCGAGCTCTTCCAGGCCTTTTGGCGCACATTTGCTGTGAAGTGCCTCTCCTTGCAGGACATCGACTGGTCCAAGGTCAGTCTGTGTGAGGACGCTGCGGCCTCAGATTGGTGCTTTTTGTTTTTTGCGTGTCTTTAAGTAGTATTGTGTATCGTATCCATCTGGCTCGCCTTTTTGTAGATCCAGATTCACCAGACGCTTCCCCGGTTTTTTTGCCAGTTCTGCCCGCCTTAAGGTCCCCTGCTTCCAGAGTTTGAAGCCCTGCTTCCCTGGTATTTTTCCATGTGTGGGCTAGTTCACATCTTTTTGGCCCTGTGTTTGTTTCCATTTGCGAGCCAGTACTCATCGCTCTGCCCTCTGCGCTGGCCAGTGCTCATCGTTCACCCGGCCCCTTCCTCCGTGCTTTTTGTTTCGATATGAGTGACTGTATTCATGGCTATCGCCTGCACGAGATTCACTTGGCCCTTGCCTGTTTTTTTTTTTGATATGAAGGTCAGTACTCATCAGTTGCTCGCTCGCCTGGGGCTGCATCCTTTTTTGTGGGCTAGTACTGATCCCAGTTGGCCCTTCGAAGGCAGTTCACCCGGCTCCTGCCTCACTGCTTTTTGCTTCGATATGAGTGCCAGTATTTATCACTTTGGCCTCTATGCTGGCCACCAGAGGGTCCAAGATTCAGCACGCCTGCTTTCTGTGGGTCTGCGGCTCTTGAATGCCTTTGGCGTCATATATGTCAATCTGGCCACCTGTTTGCTCAGGCCGATCTGGTATCCGTGATCCGGTATCTGAGTAGATCGAAGAATTTGCACAGCCGGGCAGAAGCAGTTCGCTCTGCAGTCGAACTGGTCCTTGCTCGGGCTTCGGAGCCACCAACGGCGGTGGCGTGAAAAAGCGAGATTTCAGCGTGAAAACCCCCCAAATCAGCGGGAAAACCCCGTGAAAAAGCGTGAATTTTCACGCGCCCGCGGGGCGCCTACTCGCACACACTGCACAGGGAGGGTTTTCCCGCTGATCGGGGGGGGGACGTGTTCGCCCCCAATACATCGAGATCCATGGGGCATGTGTTCGCCCACATTGCACAGATCATCATTTCACACGTGTTTGCGATCAGCAGCACGTTTAGCTGCTCACGTGCTCGCCGGCCCCTGTGCCGCACCCAAGCCTGGCCATGGACGTGGACAGCCTCAGCGTCCAGCTGGAGGAGCTCCGAGCGGCCAACGGTGGACGCTTGCCCGGCTGCAAGAAGCTTGCTGCTGCCTGCGGCATCTCTCAACGAGAGGCCAAGGAGCTTCTGCAGCAGCTTAAGCTGGAGCAGGACCTCGAGAAGGAGCTCGCGGACGGCGAGTCTGCCCCGAAGTGCGCGCGCAAGCGCAAGGCTGGCGAGGCCGTCGACACTGCAGACACCCTCCCGGACCGCCAGCCCGAGGACCTCGACACCCAGCAGGACGAGGTGGCCGACGTCGAGGTCGACTCGGAAGCAGAGGCCTTGGCCGCAGAAGCGGATCTGGAGGCTGGCGCGCATGAGGCGGCACGTGTTGTTGCTGCTCGCAAGGCTGCTGATGCGCAGCTCACCCTGGAGGACTCCGCGTCTCAGGAGGCGGCGGCTCGCTTAAAAATATGTTGCGCGCAAATCGAGAAAGTCTTTTGTCTCCCGTTTGTTTCTAGGTCGGAAGCCTGCCCAGCCTGCAGCCGGGGACTCAGCTTGTTGCGTTTCACTGTTGCATTGCGCTTTGCCTGTAGGTCCTTGCAGACCCTGGCCCGTGGCCAGCAGATGCTGCTTGCGCAGATGGAGCCGGAGGCCGCAAAGGCCTTCAACGGCATGGACCCAGACGAGCTGGAGGCTGCTGCAAAGATGTCCCTTGTCTGCGATCTAGGGGGTCGCAGTCATGCACCCCTTTAATTAGACTAAGGCTTCGACGCTGGAAGCAGGAGGATGCGGACAAGCAGGCCGCTGTCTGCACCCAAAAAAAATTACAGGCATGACTGTTATCAGTGCACCTGAGGTGAACAAGCCAGCCCTCCTGAAGCCTGGCCGCGCCGCCAAGTGCAAGGCTGCCCGCACTGCGCCGCCTCCTCCCACTGAGGGCCCTGCTGCCAAGGCAGCGCCGAGCCCCGCAGCCACCAAGGCTGCTGCGAAGGCTACCGCCCAGTCGCCGCCGAGCGAGCAGACCACGCCCGCGGCTGAGTCGACTGCAAGCGCGGAGTCGACGCTTGGCCTCGACGAGGTCGAGGTCAACTCGACCAACTATAAGGGCCAGTGGATGCGCCTGACTCGTGCAGCGCGCAGGCCCTTGGACTTCCCGAACATCGCGCAAGCGTTCAACGGGACCGCCCAGGACAAGCGGGAGCTCTTGCGCAAGTTCCTGAGCGCTGGCGAGAACCTGCAAGACCTCGAGGCCCACTTCACGGCCGAGCGCTCCGTGGAGGACCAGACCGAGGAGGTGACGGAGGCCATGACCGTCCGGCAGATGCGCGAGGCAGGGTTCTCCGAGCGCCCTGGCCAGATATCAATTGGCATTCCATGCACATTATTGTGTCAATTCGTCAGCTTCGTGCGCTTGCCCTGACCCAACTTAGGGCAAAGATAGCCGCAGTGACGGCAAAGGGCGGTCTGCCTGACGCGGATGCCCCCAACGACTATGAGAGCATGCGGTTCTGGTGCACCAAAAAGCTGGTCAAGACCGCCCGCGACACAAGCACGGTCAAAGCCAGTGTGACGGGGCCAGGCGGCGCTCTCTGCGCTCTGCTCCTCGGTGAGCAGGTCCACGGTGGCAGTGCCTGACGCGCAAGCGCTGCTGGCGCAAGTGGGCCACAGTCGGGGGTCAGCAAACGACCCAGCGCCAGCTCCCAAACCAAAGGCGAAGGCAGGGGCCCGCAAGAACGGCTCCGCGCCGTCCTCGGCCAAAGCTCTGAGCCTCAAGCTCGCCAATGGCAAGACGCTTGAGGACAAGACGCTGGCCTTGCGTGTGGCCCTCAGCTGCACGCTCCAGTTATTTTTGCAATCTCCTGTGCGTGTAGGCGCGGAGATCAAAAAGGAGGTGAACAGCCTGAACGGCCTGGTGATGGACTGCAAGGACCTGCCCCGCTTTGCTGAAGACGTGAAGCAGCTGCAGGGCCTCTCCAAGCAGCTCTCTGGTCTGTTCACCAAGCTCCTTGGCTGCCTTCAAAAATTGTTTGCACACATTGTTTGGCCTGCCGCGCAGGTGCTCCAGCATCTCTGATGATGCCGGCTTCCAGTCGGCCTTGAAGACGACGCAGGAGATGGCCTGGGCCTCTGCACATGCGCATGCGTGTGTCTTTCGGCGCCTCGAGCAGGTGCTGGACACGCGTGTCAAGAAGGCGCAGGTTGCTGCGATGCTTCGTGACGTGAGCTTCGCAAGTCCGGCCCTCAGTTTTTTTGCGCTTCCGCCCGGGGCTCAGTTTCTTTTGCGCTTGCTTCATGTGTTGCGTTGCAGGGGGTATGGCGACAGCTGATTGCAGCTGAGCCTCGGGGGCCATTGCGCCTGCGTGTGCCAATGGCGAAAGTGCCACGGGATGATCCCGCGTGGCACTTAAGGGGTTTTAGCTTGTCGCTGAGCCGCGGGGTGATCATCCCGCCGCTCAAGGTAGGACACGTGCGACAGCCTGCGTGGTGGAAACATGGGCGCGCGCACTTGAGCTGTCGCTTGCATATTTGCGCGCTTGCGAGCTCCCCGGCCGCAGGTACCAGGCCTCAAGATTCAGCTGCACGAGTCAGGCAGCAAGTTGACGAGAGGCATGGCGCGCACGTGTGTGGCAGCACGCACCTCTTTGGCCGCACAGACGAGCAGTACTGGCGGGCACAGGAGCGCTGCGGAATTCCACGCCCCTGCTGCACCTTGGAGGACGCGCTCGGCATCCAGTTGTACGGCGACGAAGGCCAGTTCTACGAGCAGGACAGCTACATGGCTATAAGCTGGACGTGCGAGTGCAGCCCTTTCTACACTGATCAGGCCTTAAGCCGCTTTGTCATCGCGCTCATGCCAGCGACGAGGTACTACGTCAACACCAGCGGAATCAATATGACGCTGCAGGCCTTGCTGAAGATAGTAGTTCGCTCGCTGAACCGCTGGCAGTGCGCTCAGGTCGTGACCATCAAAGGCGACTGGAAATTCATGGTGCAGTGCGCGAATTTGGAGCGCCACCCAGGCACCAATCGCATCTGCTTCAGGCCAGGCTGCTTTGCTTCCAAGTCCCTGGACTGCCCCTACACCGATGTCTCTGCAGGTGCTGCGTGGAGAGCTGCGGCGGCGCCAGTCCTACTTCCATGGAGCGTGCAGCCTGAGATTTGTCACCTTCGCGGATTTGATGCAAGATGGCTGAGTGTGGATCTTCTCCACGCTTTCCATCTGGGGGTTGGCAGGGACATCGCCTCATCGGCGTTTGTCGTCCTTTTGCGGACTGGCCAGTTTGCAGGCAACAACGCGCTTTGGCCGCAATCGTTGCAGACATGCGTGTTTTTTGGTTTGCCCTCGATCCATTGCGTCCGATAAATGTGCGTCCATTCTATCTATTGCGGCCAGCATAGGCAAAAGAGCGCCTCGCGGAGGCCACCCGCTTGGTCCAGCAGCACGCACGCAACGTGTCAGGCCGGCCTCTCCCACGCAGGTGGAAACTCACTGCCCAAAGACTGTGCCTGCACACTGGCAAGTACGTGCACTTCACAGGCAAAGCTTGGCACCTGACTGTCTTCTTGCAGTTCTTGGTCCACTATGTGGGCCTTCCAGGTGTGCAGTGTGATGACCGGATCAAGATCGTGCTCTGGGCGGCCGACAACTTCGTGGCGCACTTACATGAGTGCCGCAGCCGCGGTGTGTGGCTCACCCAGTCGGAGGTGGAACAGGCTGTTCGGATTGGCAGCCTCTGGCAGCAGCAGCACCTCCTGCTCCATCAGGCCTACAGTAATTGGTGCAGCTTTAAGCTGTGGAATATTCGGCCAAAGTTTCATTTGCTGACGCATGTCATTGATGAGCTCCGGGTCACCGCAAAAAACCCGGTAGTCCACGCCACTTGGATGGACGAAGACTGGGTCAAGTCCCTGATGCTGCGCGCCCGCAAGGTGCATCGCCGCACCGCGCCTCGATCGATCCTCAGCCGATACCTGATCGGACTGCGGGCGATCTTTCGCGCGCGGCGACAGCCTTAACTCATAGGCCGGCCGCGCTCACACCTGCCTAACGTTACTCAAATCTTATATGGCCTGGCTGCAGGTCCCCGATCGCGGGCCTTGTTGCATGCGTGAGCTAAGAGGCCGGCCCTCACATGCCCGAGTGTGGATCCAGCGTTAACTTAAGCTGCATGAGTCGCATGCCTCGCTGCAGGTGTCGGGATGGCGCCCTGCATCGCGCCACGTCGGCTGCCGCGCGCAGGCCGGGGCGCGCTATATATGCTTCGATCGATCGCTCGGCGCTCTTGCGCACCGGCCAGGCGAGATCCTGGCTGGCTGGCTGGCCGATCACGCGCGGCCTGGGCTGCAGCATGGTTTTCGCATCGTCGTTCGCCGCTCGCTCGCGCCAGGTATGCTGGATATCGTGTCGGGCCGGGGCCTCGGCTCGATCGTCGCGCCGCTCGCTCGCGCCGGGCCAGGCGCGCGCCCACCCCGAGTGGCCAGGGCCGGGTGCATTCATTCGACGGTCGCTCTGATCGTGCCAGGTACCTGCGACACATGCTCGGCTCGCGGATCGATGAGGCGCCGATCGCTGCGTCTCGCTCGAATATCGATTTTATATATATATAATATAGAGTATTAACATGTGCACATATATATATATATATACATATATACCACGCCGCTCGCTCGTGCCAGGTACGTGCTGCACTGGCGCTACGCGCCGGGGCCCCAGCCGATCGGTCGTCGGTCGTCGCACGCTGTTCTATACATATATATATATACATTTTCTAATATTTGTGTGTACGCCGCGTCCCCGATCGATTGCATTGGCCAGGCGGCATCGAAGCCAGCTCGCACATCGATGCAGGCGCCGGATGATCAAAGCAGCTCGATATCCTCATATATATATGCATGCTGCAGGATCGAGGCGCTGCGCTGCATAGATTGTGAGCATATGCTGACGGCTGATTGCGAACGCGCGAACAAAAGGATCGCAAATGCATATCGGGTTTGATTTTTTTCTCTAAACTATGCCTCGGTTTCTGTGCAGCAGTTTTTGTGAAGATGTTTTCCCTATTATTTGGGCTCATGTGTACGATATTGTCGAAACACAATATTATTCGGGTGCGCACGTTTTCGCCGAAACATATATGATTTTAGCCTTGGCCGGGCTGTGTCTCGCGCGGTGGCCAGCCTCAACGATCGCTTCAGCCTCGTGACCGATCAAATAAAATGCATGGGCCAAGGTGTGACCAGGCCAAGGTGTGAACGCGCAAAAAACAATCTTTGCTTATATAGTGGCGCTAAGAAGCCAGGCGGTCCGGCTCAAGCACAGGCCACAGGGCTAGCTCGAGCTCGCCAGACTCTTCATCCAGCATCGGCAGGTGGTGCCAGCTGATGACATCACGAACGGCAAGGTCCCGCCTTACAAGCATCTGGTACGCCCGGGCATCTGCAGTGGCTGTAGACCTTGAATACTAGGCACACATCTCAAACAATTCGACGATGCAAAAATCTGAGGTCTGGGCGTCCACACAGACGAGCTATAAGCCCTTCCCACACGAGAGGCGCTGGCCAAGGTGGAGCGCCCAGCACCAACTTCAGCGGCGAGGCTGGCCAGTATTACATAAGAATTGTATGACCCATTTGCGTGCGGTATGTCATTCAAGGGGTGGTGAGCCAGCGCTCAGAGAGCTAAAAATGGGCTGAAAATGATCAAGGTGATAGGGGTGATCAAGGTGATAGGGGGTTTTCAAGGTGATAGGGGGTTTTCAAGGTGATTTGCAATTTCGTGTTCTTCTTCCAGGTGATTGTCGTGTCTAGGAAGTGCTTCTCAGGACAGTTGAGAAGAGCCTGAAATTGGGGTGGTGCCTCCAATTCAAAGGCAAAGCACACCCTGCGTGCTCGCGGGGTCGCATGCAGGTCCGGGGGCAATCCCGTAGAGAACAGGGTACAAGCCCACAACGTGGGGCTGATGGCCGAGTCCATCCTGAAGTGAAGGTTGGCCTCCCCATGCCACTTGACCGGGTCCGAATTGTGGAAGAAGCCCACCTCTGACAGCATAGCATCCAGAGTTGCCAGGGTCTTTGAGGAGAGAGAGGCCAGGGCCTGGAGGACCAAGGGGTCACGAGAGAGCGCCAGCGACACAGAAGGAAACAGAACGCACCGCAACCAAGCAAACCAAGAGCCGCAACCAGGGGGCCACGCACAGGCAAGAAAGGGGCTGCCGGGAATGGGTACCCGGCTTTGTGGACGCTCCACGCCACCAGGGAGGGGTCGCAGAGCCCAGGGCGCCCAGTTCCTAAGCTGAATGACCTGGGAGCCAGTGCAGCTAAAAAGGGAACCCTTTTTTGGGAAGACCATTTTAGTGGGGCAGCCACCAAAAACAAAGTTGGAAAAAGAATTGGTGCCACTGAACAACTGAGGACTGAAAAGGGATGGCAGTCTTCAAAGGGAGCAGCGAGCCATGATGTCCCATGTCCCCTGGCCGGTCCTGACTCAAGAATGTCCGAAGCCGCTTCCTCCTACGAGAAGCGCTTCAATCCTTCCTCACTCCGTGTATTCAGCATTTCCCCTAGGAGGTTAGAATAAGTTGGTACCAACTTTTTTTTATGTAGTCTATAGTACAAAAACCCTCCAAAAAGAAACGGTAAAAGGGCACTATTGGGGGACCTAGGGAAGTAGTTGCAATGCGTGAGATTCCAATAAGTCGTTGTTGAGCCACATACTGCGCCGCGCGCAGACCTGTTGCCCTCGGAACATGGAACCCTCCAGCCGGTCGGTGGGAAAATGGTAGGACCTGGCAGACCCCATGTTCGATAGGAATCCTTCGCGACCAACTCAAATGAGCTGGTATGTCAGTCTCGCTTGTAGCATCCCTTGAGGCAGCGGCTCTAGGCATTTGTGCTCTGGAAACAAGTGGAAGCCACACATCGTTTGGGGACTCCGACTGAGCACGGCCTTGCGGTGCTTGTGGCTTGTCGAAGATGATAAGAGAAGCCATCACTTAAGCCTCGCCTTGCTGCCTTGCTGTCCACATAAGCCATCCAGCCACTAGTCAAGTAAAAACGGCGTCCAACAAAATATGGCAGCGGGTCAAAAATAGGGACACCCCAAAGTGGAACCCTGGAAAATGGAAACATGGACCAAAATCTGCGGTCCAATTCCTGTTGGTTCAATTTTGACCCACACCCCGCAGCACCATGAGCCTCCGGCCAGGCTACCCCAAAGGCAGGGTATGTGCTGGTGTCAAGGTTTGACTTCTGCTTTCGGAAGAAGCGGAGCCGAAATCGTTTCGGTCAGGGAGTCCACCATTTCCAGAAACCGTGACCCATACAATTTCCCCGCACCGAAAAGGAATGGGCCTTTTTCCATTTTTCCAAATATCCCCAACCTCGAGCAACCAAACCACACAACAACTAGTTGATGGATGTTGACCCCTCATTTTTGATCATAGGACACGCATGGAATTGCTGCTGGTAGGTGTAATGTGTTTCCGCCGATTCAGCGCCATCGGTTTGTTTGTCTCCCTTTTTGCTGTGGCTTCCCTATGAGAGGGAACGCGATAAATGGCGTCGGGTCAAAGACCAATTTTTCCGGGTTGGCCTTGCTAAAACTAGGTCCCCCAGTAGTGCCCTTGTATTCCCTTTTTTGGGGGGAGGGTTCCCCCACTACAATAGACGACAGAAAAAAGTTGGTACCCCTACCATGATTGTAGGGGATTGGTTTCCCACACAAAACACCGTGCCCCCCTCTCCCTCCTCCCATCCCTCCGCATCCCCGCCCCCATCCACCCACCACCCCACCATCCCCCCCACCCACCCCACCATCCCCCCCCACCCACCCCAAAACCCCCCAACCAGCGCAGCCGGGGGCCCCGGCGAGGGGGTGAGCCCCGCCGCCTCGGAGAGGCTCAGCTTGCAGGTGTGCTGCAGCTGCGACAGCCGCGACCTCGAGGGTGCCCCGACGCGTCTTAGGGGGAAGGTGGCTTGAGTGAGCTGTGGTTCATGGGTTCATGGCCTTGTTTGGGCTCCCCCTTCCCTCCCTCCCCAGTTTCCATGATTGGTTGCTTGCTTCGTTGTTTACCCAAAGACCAACTTGTGTTAAGACTTGCGAAACCAGCCAACCATTGGAAAATGCTGTTTTAATTTTTTTGTGAGATGTAGAGCAAGCAACAGAGCAAGAAAATAGTGATCCCAAGTTTCGGGTGGGAAAAAAAGCAAGGAAAAAGTGATTTTAGAGCAAACAGTGGGCACTAAAAAAGCAAGAATGCAGCAAACAAGAGACCAAAAATAGCAAGAAAATAGCAAGACAATTGTGAAACAAAAAGCAAGAAAATTGTGATCAACCCTCGAAACCAGTAAATCTGCAAATCACAGCGGGAAATCACTATTTTCTTGCTTTTTTGGAGTGGGAAATCACTAGTTTCTTGTTTTTTTTGGAGGCGACGACCCTCGAAACCCGGAAATCTGCAAATCACAACGGGAGATCACTATTTTCTTGCTTTTTTGGAGTGGGAAATCACTATTTTCTTGATTTTTTTTGCAGGCGACAACATCCAAAAAACAAGAACATAGTGATCTCCCGCTGTGATTTGCAGATTTCCGGGTTTCGAGGGTCGTCGCCTCCAAAAAAAACAAGAAAATAGTGATCTCCCGTTGTGATTTGCAGATTTGCGGGTTTCGAGGGTTGTCGCCCGCCAAAAAAAGCAAAAAATAGCGATTGTCCGCTCCAAAAAAGCAAGAACATAGTGATCTCCCGTTGTGATTTGCAGATTTCCGGGTTTCGAGGGTCGTCGCCTCCAAAAAAAACAAGAAAATAGTGATTTCCCACTCCAAAAAAGCAAGAAAATAGTGATCTCCCGTTGTGATTTGCAGATTTCCGGGTTTCGAGGGTCGTCGCCTCCAAAAAAACACAAGAAAATAGTGATTTCCCACTCCAAAAAAGCAAGAAAATGGTGATATCCCGATAGTGATTTTCCAAAAAGCAAGAAAATAGTGATCTCCCGTTGTGATTTGCAGATTTCCGGGTTTCGAGGGTCGTCGCCTCCAAAAAAAACAAGAAAATAGTGATTTCCCACTCCAAAAAAGCAAGAAAATAGTGATCTCCCGTTGTGATTTGCAGATTTCCGGGTTTCGAGGGTCGTCGCCAAAAAAAACAAGAAAATAGTGATTTCCCACTCCAAAAAAGCAAGAAAATAGTGATATCCCGTTGTGATTTGCAGATTTCCGGGTTTCGAGGGTCGTCGCCTCCAAAAAAAACAAGAAAATAGTGATTTCCCACTCCAAAAAAGCAAGAAAATAGTGATATCCCGTTGTGATTTGCAGATTTCCGGGTTTTGAGGGTTGTCGCCTGCCAAAAAAAGCAAGAAAATAGTGATCTCCCATATAATCACTATTTGGATCCTCGCTATTTTGAGGTGCCCAAATCACTATTTGATGACCATCTGATCACTATTTTCTTGTTTTTTTTGTCAACTGTTGCAAGTGAATCACTTTTTTCTTGCTTTTCAGTTTGCTCTTAATTTTCAGATTGTTATTTTCTTGCTCCAACCCTCACTCCCAAATCACTAAAAAAATTATTTTAACCTCCCTCAACGGTTGGCTGGACGAAAACTCTTAAAACTTGTGGGTAAAACTCGATTGCGAAGGATGATTTGACTGGCTGGCAACCTGCACTTTGATGGGTACATGTCGATGTTTTGCTGCGCTTGACATGGCCGACGTTGGCTGAGCTTTAGGACAGTGCTGGTCGTCCCATCAGCTTCTCAGCATGCTTCAATTGTTGGATTCCACCCACCCAACCAATAAAATGTGGCTCCACTATATCGACAATATGGAAGGGTACTTTATATACCCCATTTTCCCTTGCGGGTGGTTTGGTCAATATTTTAACGACCGTGGCATGGCGGTGGGAGGGGTCCTTTGTGGCAGTGGCAATGTGCAAGACCAACGGACTCGGGAGGCATATGTTTCGTCGTCGCCATGAAGCCAATGATTAAATGATCAGAGCCTATGGTGAGACATCGCTTTCTTGGAAGCAGCTTGGGATTGCTGGCCCTCTTGGATCCAATTAAAACCACAGGATTCCTACCGAAGAAACCCTGGTTTCTGATTCGATTCCCCTGCATTTACATCGAGTCACAATGTGTCGAAAAAGGGGCGCGAGTGGTTCCTTGAGGAAACCAGGGGTGAGTTGTTGTTCATGGCTAACTTGAGAACTGGCCCTTCGAAATGCGCTTTGCGGTTCCCAATGCGATTTGGGTTCGGAAAATGAGGAGCCTTGCCAATGGGTGTTTTCTTTTCTTCTGCTGGTGTCCTCTTTAAATCAAGCCAAGGGGCATTCCCTAGAAAAATACAAGCCCATACAGTGTGGCAAGGGACGCACGAAACAAGGGGCGTGGGAATCGGCAAGTTGGCCAGCCTTCAAGTTACTGTGTTTGGTGGGTTTGACACTTCTTAAGCTTCCAACCCGAAAAGGGTTCCGATTCCCACTGGCTTCTGGCTGGACCACTTTCCAGTAGGGACCAAGGGACCCAGGGACGTCCAAAGGATGCGATCCAACTCAACCATCCGATTCATCGGACCCAATCTCTTGAGCTCCGGGGCAGCTCCGAGCGCTCGTAGCCCTAAGACCAAGCTCGGCCTCCAGGCGAGAGTTTGGTCGCAGAGTCCCTCTCGCGAAGTAGCTTCTGCTCGGCCTGCGCAGAAACCAATGATAGGATTGCATGCTGCTGCAACAAGCGGGGATGAAGCATGTACCATATGATAACTCTTCACATGTTGGATTTGAATGTGCATGGAAACCTGTGAGATCTTGCGACCATTTGTAACGCAGTAAACAAACAACTTCCAACGTATACCGGCTGTCCCTCTTCATTGCACACTTCACTCCTAAACCGCGGCCTTTCCGCAAACAAGCCTTCGAACCGCACCAACAAACGTGCCAAACACCAAGCAATCACATCACGTCAGGCATCTATGCACCTGATACGCACCCTGCAAGCCACGTTGGCAAACATGACCCGTGACCCGCAGGTGGCCTCCTTAACGCGCCGACGAAGATCCTCAGCCTCAGCCTCACGTCTCCGAGTACGCGAGGAATGCCCGAGGCTGAATGGTTCGAATGGGGTTTTGGGGGAATATAAAGCCACAATGAGTCATTCTTACAGGAATCTTTTGTTATTCAGCCCCTTGTATCATGTACTGACACTGACCTGCTCAAGGATGTGAAAAGTAAATGCTGACCATTTAGCACATTCCCAAACATGGACCAAACAGATTAACAGGTCAGCTCTGGACATAGAACCTGTCCCCCACATCTTGCATCGTTTTCGTTTTCTTTGCTTTTCTTTTTCTTTCTGTTTCTTTGCTTGGGGGGCAATTGCTGATACATCCACAAGGTTCAAGATTAATAACTCTTGGTTGATTATTGGGGGGGGGGTGTCCGTTTTAGCGGGGTTCATCACGATTGAAAAACGGGTTTACTAATCCGGGGTGGATTATGGATTATACCACAGCACTACGCAGGAACCCCTAAACGCTGGCGAGCAAACTACTTTCAACCACGACGCCCTGCTCAATTGTTGTAAATCTTAGGGCTGTCCTTGTTTTCCCCTTGCGATAACTCGGCAATCCCCTTTTTCCTCAAAAATTGATTTCCAGCCAGCAGAAACGGATACCCCTCCCCCACAAGAAGCTCCTGACAACTGACAAGACCGGGTTTGCCTTTTGATCTGCTCAGCACGATATAGGAGGCCCGTCCTTTGCTCCAAGAAAATCAACGCAAAGGACTGCGTCGAAGCCTCTTGTTCAAACACCCTCCCCTTTAAGGTGCTCAAGATTTGATTGCTGAACTGGATGCCAACTTCGGGGGTCAAAACTTAAATCGCGACCCAGTGCCTGCTCAAGTTCACCATAGGCCCGAAACAAATAGGGCCCAAGTTCTACACCCTGTTCAGTTGCCCTCAACACCATGGCTGGGTTCATATGGCCGCCATCGTTTGTATCTGAGTTGGGTCCCGTTTTCTTGGGGCCATTCTTTCAATGGGGGCAAGGAACCTTAGGAAAAAAACACCAGAAAAACCGCCCCTCCACCCAAACCACCATGGTGAAGGTTTTTGCGGCGCCCGGCGGTGCGAGACCTGACGCTGGATTCTGCCTGCGCACAAGCGGCCAGCGGAATGGGGGCGGGACTTGGCATTTGACACGGCCCAGGTGGCGGGACTCACCTAGGTCCTCCAGAGAGGCTCGAATAAGTGTACCAACTTTCTTCTGTCTATTTTAGTAGGGTTTCACCCTCCCCCAAAAAAGAAACCGTAGGGCGCCAATCGCTGGGAGACCTAGGCATTCGACAAGGCCCCTGGAACCCCCCTGGAACTGGAACCTCGTTTTGAACCCTCGAGAGGTGCCCCAAACCGCCCCGATGGCAGCTGGCCCTTAGCTTTCAGCTGGGGAAAATGGAAGGTACAGCCACATGGTGTCTGAGGAGCGGGCAAAAGCAGAAGGGCGCTCCTTTTCGTGAAGTGAAGTGAACAAAGGGACACACCCGCCTCACCATGTGGAAAAGACTCTATCTCATGGGGCCCTCTCGGATCCTTTTCAAATGCTTGTGGCTGCTGCGCAGAAAGCAAGTCGCCATCTTTTGTCAACTTGGAGCGAACCAAGGGCTGTGACTCCACGCACGCCTCGAAGCCTGTGGTTCCAAACTTGTCGATAGTGCAAAGGAAACACACATGATTTGCCAACATCCCAACGCTTCTCATGCAGAGTTCCCCCAGTGGCTTCCAATATTCCCTCCATGGTTTCCCATACTTTCCCAATGTTTTTCCATGGCTTTCATTGTTTCCCAATGTTCCGCGCCCTGATTACACCAACTCCTTCCATGCAAAGTGAAACCAAACATATCGGACGCTTGGCGTTTCCCCTCTCCGCCAAGCCCCGCGCAAGCCCCGAACCTCCGAAAGGCGCTTGCGAATGGTCCGGTTCAACTGAGACACGCGAGCGGAGATCTCCTCCGGATGTCTTCGAGGCTTCCCCGCTTGGTGGCTTCGCAAGGGAATTCAAGGGAAAGTCACTCCCCAAAAAAACTGGAGGGCCCCTTTTTCTAAGACAATGCCATATTCGCCCAGGACCAAATTGCTTGATTCCCCAAGGGAACATGGGACAACTGGGTGTTAACAGTTGCCAGCAAGGTTAGGAGACCCCAAAGTCAACCAATCATATCGCCAGACCCCATATCAGCTTCCTAGTTGTTGGTTTGTCATATTTGTCCTCTACAAGGAGGTCAAGCCCGCATCCATCCAAAACACCAAGGGTCACTTGAACAGAGATCTGTCTTCCCGTCGGGGCCGCCCCCCCATTTCTGCAAAACAACCAGTCAAGCAGGGGCTCTCCAAAGGCCCGATCGGCACGTGGGTAGAAATTGGGCCCTGTATGTATATATATACATATACATCTATATATATATACATATATGTACACGTATATACGTATATGTGTATATGTGTATGCATATATATATATATATATTCATTCATTTACTTATTCAAACAAGTGGTTTTCCTTTGGGTTTGCATTAGAAACCAGCCAGACATGGGTTCCAAAAAAAGACAACCCCCCATCCCCTACACAAAAAGACAACTAACCTCCAGCAAAGAGAAGGCTCAATCAGATGAAGACACTTATGTCCCTCACCTCAGTTGAAACAGAAAAGGAAGAGGAGTCTGAACCATCAAACATCCACTACTTGCAGATTGCTTCCTGGATAAAAGAACGAAAGCTATTTTTCTATCATGAACCACCTGAACCCAAAACCGCGAATAACAAAAACATGTTGTCTTTTCCGTGCAAACATGTGTCTTTACTTGGGGAGGGGGCCGCCCTTTAATTTTGTCTCCGAAGTCACAGCGCTTCTGCAAAAGGGCAGGGCATCCAAATGTGTTCCAAAACTCCTTGACTCCGCGCGCTTGCGTGCCTGAATTTCAAGGCAAACTACACCATTTAACCTTTGGGAGCGTTTTCTACCTTCAGGAACCCCCAACCTGTCTCTGAAGATCTAAGGCCGCCATGAATTCCAAATGCGTCACAAGGCTGAGGGTTCGGTTTCTGTCTTACCCGGAACCTAGAAAATTCCTTTCTACCTTGGCTAGCTCCTCCAATAAAGAGGTTAGAATAAGGGTACCAAGTTTTCCTGTAGTCTATTTTAGGGTTTCCTCCCCCAAAAACGGGGAGAGAAGGGCACCTAGCTGGGGGACCTAGGGTTAGCCAAAATAAAATCCTTACAGGGCGACTGGCATGCATCCACGTGCCGCTCTCTCCTGCTCCCGCGCCATGTCGCGGTTGTACTCCTGGTCGTCAACCGGTGCGTCAAGTGAGCACGCTCGTGCGCCAAATTGGGAGAATGAAGCACAAAGTGCTCAGAAGGTCTCCCACAAGAAGATGCATTCTTGCCTACAGGTTGCCGATGATTGTCCTTGCGTTGGCTAAGGTTGCTCAATATCCACGTTTGGATTGGCTGTTTGGACTTGAGGGTAAGGCTGCAGGGCCGCTGTCCGCCACAAAACAGATGCAACTTGCCGGTCCCTTGCCGGAAGAAAGGCAACGAAACACATCGCCGATCTATGACCTTTACCAAGCAAATATCTCGGAGCAGTTTGATCTACCGAAGCCGAAGCCGTTCGGGGGTTGTCATACCTTATCTTGACACAAACACACACAGACAAACTCCCACAAACACAAACATGCAAGAACAACACAAACAAACACGCACAGTCAAACAAACACGGAAGCACACAAGCAAAGAAACAAAGAAGGAAGGAAGGAAGGAAGGAAGGAAGGAAGGAAAGAAAGAAAGACAGAAAGAAAAAAGAAGGACGCAAACAACCAACCAGACAAACAATCAACCAACCAACCAACCCGACCTGCGAAAATCCGAGACTAATCTCAGCTAATCAACCAAGGCAGCACTCACGCCTTTTCAATGCTACAATTGCCCTAAGGCAATCCTGTCCTTGAACCAGCCTTGAGCCATGCAATGCAATGCATGACAATGAACTCACATCAAGGTGGGAATGCATGTGAATATTTCGCACGCCCCCTTGGATCGATGGAAGAAGTGGAATTGATCCACACCTCCAAATCTTAGATGCATTCCAAAGAATGCCCTTTGCTGCCTTCAAATCTTTTCACTGCTGCAAAATGTCTTGTGCAATGAATTCTGCAAAACGTCTCTCAGCAAAATATGCAAAACGGGCAATGTAGACACTGCCAAAATGCTGCCTTATGTATTGCAGGCTCGAATCCCGTGCGATGCTTGAAAACTTCAATCAACTCTAGAATCACCAGAAGATGAAATCCGTTCTCTCAAAAGAAGCACCAAGATGAATCTAAACTGTACCTTCCGCCAAATGTGGAAATGCAAATGCTCCCAGCTTCAAATGCTGGCAGAATGCAATCGGCTCCTCACAGCCTTGGACGAATGTGGCTCAAAATGATATCCTTAGGAATCTCACAGTAATCACCAGTGAACTGATCCAGATGCTCACGGTGCTGGACCTGTACAAACAAATGGGAGTCGCGGTGCTACTCATCTGATATATCATGAAATTGGTTCAATGCAGATCTTGCCAATCTCGGGCCTAAATTACAATCCAGTGATTGTGGAAATCTCTTGAAATGAGGACTCAATCCTCAGGTTCCAAGTGTAGGTGTTGAAATGCAGAATTGGATCCAAATGGGATCTCATGAATGCGTATGAATCTGTCGAATTGAGGGCGGAATCCAAGGAATGCTTGAAATCTCTGCCTGGCCGCTCCCACAGAATACCGCAATTCATAGCTAAACGAGTACAAAAAGAATAGCAGTGCTGACCGCGGTGAAAATGAAAAGCCGAGGAAATTCGTATTCCAAAAACAAATCTGACGAGAGAATTCTGCAATGCCAACCGGGCCATGTAGCTGCTGAATCAATTGATTGTAAAATGCCAGCGGCACTGCAATCCAAAGCATGAATGGCATCATGTTCCTCGTCAATCGCTGCATGTCAAATTGTGGGTTGAGCTTGATAATCCTCAGAATGAATGGTGGCTCAGTGGCCCAAAATTGCCTCTCAATAAATGTATATGCTCTTGACGAATGAATGTTGGGCAGGAGCTTCATGAGCAATTCGCCACCCAAAATGGCAATGTTGCGCATGTCAATGGCAATCAGGTCCTGCCAATTCAATTGCTCAACTTGGCGGCCTGCAAAAATCATCTGGAATGTAGTGCTCCAGAATGTACTGTACTCGGAGAAATTCAATGTGCCCGGGTTAATCACCGCCATCTTCGGTGCCATGTTGCCCAAATGCACCAATCCGCACAAATCCGGCAAATGCGTTCCTCAAGGAAATCTGCAAATACCATCAGGCAAAGCGAATGCAATCCAGTGAGCGCACAAATGAGCAGAAAAATGGCGAGCATGCATGAAATGGTACTGAATTAATGTTTCAAGCCTCGTGCAAAATACCTCAGTGAAACTTGAATGCTGCTCTACTCCTGACTTGCGGATCTCAATCCTAATGTGACTATATGTCTATGCAATGTTGCCTTAGCAACATACTTGGTTAAAATGTCGGCAGGGTTCAGGGTTCCCAGAATCTTCTTGATAACCAGAATGCCAGAAGAGACAAGCTCCTGGACAAACAGAAATCGCAATTGGACATGTTTGGTTTTCCGGGATGCTGCTCTTGCCTGCCATGGAATCTGTGAACAAAATGATGTTCACCTTGGGAGACACATGGGTTTCCAAAATCAGGGATTTAATGAATAGGGCCTCAGCCGCCCCACTCCCAATAGCATACAATTCGGCTTCCCCACTTGACAAGGCAATGGTGGCCTGTGTGCTGCTGTGTAGGAACAGGCAGCTTCACCTTTTTTTGTAAAAAAACCTGCTTGTGTCTCCCCTTCCTCTGTCTGAGGGCAGGTCCTCTGATGAAGAGTCATCTGAGGAAGAGTCCTTGGCTGGCGCCACTGCGCTGAAGGCAGACATGCGGTTTCATACCGAGATGAAGCAAGGGCATTTCCAGCCAGGATCTCAATGTTGACAGTATCTGACTGACTTCTTGCACCCTACAAGTAAAAGGAAAACCCTTTCAGTCTTCAACCCTCCAGTTTCGGCTGTGTTCACAAAAGCTGGCCAGCGCCTGTTTGCGGTGCCCTTGTCCGACCCATAACGCTGTGAGCAAATACTCAGCCTTCTGAAAATCGCCAACATCTGACAACACAGGCAAGTTGTTCAGCAGTCGCCGGGGAAGGGGAGGTGAGCTCAGGCCTTCCATGGATCTGACAGATCACAGCTGTCCTCTCAATATTCAAACTGGAGAATAAAATAGCGTTTTACAAGAAACCCGTATTGCCGCTTACATGCTGTGACCATCATGAACTGACAAGCACGGCGCGCCATCTCTGCGTTTGACAGTTGCAAGACTGCCTCAGGAAATGCCTTCTTGCAGAATGACCTGTTTTTCCTGGATTCAGGCTTCCCTTAATCGACTGACGGCGGGGCCGCGGCTCAGCAAAAACATCCGCGAAACCCAGGTTGGTAAGAATGAAGAGGTTCATTCACGACAAACTTCCCCCGACAAACTTCCCCCGACAAACTTCCCCAATCACAACCAGCAGGTACTGAGACAGTTGGAGGCAGATGGAGGCCACTTCAGCGAGGAGGCTTCCATGCCATCAATCATGTAAGGCAACTTTTCTCTCTCCATCTCTTTCAAGATGCGTTGCCTGCCTCAGAAAACGTCTTAAGAATACAGCAGAAACAACAGCAACAGCAGCAACGGCGACGACGACAACTATCGAATAACACTTGTATTACTACACACACAGAATATATAAACGGAGCAGCCCCCACTCCAGTTGGCACTTGCTCCTTCCCAAAAAAGCGGGGCGCAAGAGCACACCCGAAAAGGCCAAAGTCTAGAGACCTTCCTGCGGAAGGGTTGCATCTCCGTGTTGTTCATCGTTCAATCACCCAGTTTCCACAAAAACAAAAGAATTTCTGCCCACAGAAAGCTTCCACCCAACTCCACGGTGGCCCAGGGGAAAACCATATTTAGGGGGAACCCAATTGAAAGCAACAATGAGACGGGAAGGAGGCAGCATTGTCTCGAACATTTGAAGGGACAGATTCTATTGACCAGCGTCTTGCTCAACCCTGCCGAGTTGTAACCATCGGTGGCGACTGCGCTCAAACAAAGATCATGCCAATTCAGAAGCACCGTGCATTCACCCCAGCGACAAGTCAAGAACCACTGGAAAGCAAAAAACAACACGGCGGCTTGTCCATCCACACAACGCGACATAGATTGGCAGATCGCACCAAGTAAAAAGCATGCCCTTGGGTCAGGCTCATCAATTTAATTGAAAGTCCCCACATCAAATTTGAACATAAGTTTGACATCTCACACATTGCAACTCTTGATCTTGATGGATAAAGTACTCTGCAAGGTTACAAGTGTGGGGATTTGGGGGGCGGAGACCGGGGCACCTTTTCGGAGGCGAACCCGGGCAAATCAGCCAAGCTGCGGCAGCCTCTGAGATTCCTGCCGGCTGCACTTCCAGCCCTTCTCCCCCCCCTCCCCCGCACCGTTTCTTGCCTGCAGCGTCTTCTGGGCCTTCTGTAAGGTTTCCATCTCTTGCCGACGGCGCAAAGCACAAACACCCCACACCAATCTGACATATTCACATCCAAGAAACCCTTATTTAAGGAACCCCCACCCAACAGTTATTTTCCATTCACCCAACGTGAGCTCGTTTTATCCCCTAAACTGAGCTCGTTCTGAATTATGCAAAACAATCATGCAAAACAACAATAGTTATAGCGTTTGTTTGTAGAGATCACCTTTCGTGGGCTCTCAACGATGGAAAATCCAATGATTCTCTACATGTCCCCAAGACAAAATGACTGAACTGGTAGAAAGTGACTAGTGGAAATGGCGGATCTGGTCCTTGAAGTCCTCGGGACAGACTGCCAGTCCGACTTCAGGCGCCCCGCTGCCTTCCAGGAATTTGGAGGCGAGGTGGGAAGGTCAGGAGCCCAGGAATATTAAATATTAATGGGAACCCGGATCAATTCATAAACTGGCTCATTGATGAAGGGGGCGCAAGCCCCCTTTTAATGTTTAGATTTCCCACTAAACAAGGGTGCGCCAACAATTGACTTGAATTATTTATCCCGGGTCATCAGGATATAGGAATTGGCTTTGAACAACCCGGTTCAAAGACGCACCGAATGCCAGACACGCTTTTGAACAAGGGATTCCTGCCCGGCTGACTTACTGTTCGCGGGGTCTAACATTCAAGCAG